TTCTGGGTACCCGTCTTGCTCTGTCAATCTGTTTCCTCACTTCCCCAGGTGGGTATTGTAGTTTTAAGAATGCTTGATAAAGATCTTGTAGGTGTTTGTCTCTGTCTGAGGGGTTGGAGCAAATTCGGTTGTATCTTAGGGCTTGGCTGTAGACAATGGATCGTGCAATGTGTCTTGGATGGAAGCTGGAGGCATGTAGGTATGTATAGCGGTCAATAGGTTTCCGGTATAGGGTGGTGGTTATGTGACCAACACTTATTTGCACGGTAGTGTCCAGGAAGTGGATCTCTCTTGTGTGGACTGGTCCAGGCTGAGGTTGATGGTGGGGTGGAAATTGTTGAAGTCCAAGTGGAATTCTTCAAGGGCCTCATTTCCTTGGGTCCATATGATGGAGTTACCAGCCTCTTACCCTATGGGCCACACAAGTCCAAGTGGGGCCACGGTAGCCACAAGCTGCTAGCCCAATGGAGCCAAGGACAGCTGGGAGCCGCTCACCCAATGAAGTGACAGTAGCCATGATCTAGAGTGGCTGTGATGGTCATGAAAACGGTCACAGCAGCCATTTTTATGGGCTCAATGATATGAAAGTTTTTGTTGCACTGCTATACAACAATTCTTTCGTAAGGTGTAGCCCATTATATGATCACAACACAACATGGCATTGCAGCAAAACATCATTGTGCAACAAAAGGGTGTGCTGATTTTTTGGCAGTATAATGTGTCAGTGGCACATTAAAATATCACACAAAAACACACTGCCAATTTCACATCAAAATGTAATTGCATTGCAAATAAGAGTAATTACATGGCAGCACAGCTTGACATTGTTGCAGCACACAGCAACACAGTATTAGGGTTACCATATTTTCAGCCTCCAAAAGGAGGACAGTCCACAGCCCCCGCCCCCAGCCCCGGCCCCGGCCCCGGCCCAGCCCCGCCCACACCCCGCCCCAACTCCACCCCTTCCCCAAAGTCCCCGCCCCAACTCCGCCCCCTCCCCTGCTTCCCGCGAACATTTGATTCGCGGGAAGCCTGAAGCAGGTAAGGGGGTGTGGGGGGAGGAGGCGCGGCCCAGT